GCATAATACACTATGGGAAAATTATTATACGAAGGTTAGATTTAATACTGGAAAAAATGTCCTGAGGGCATGCAAGGCCAGAAGGAAATTGCATTGTGTTTACTTGTTTGTAATGCTATTTCGATAGACATTCGTCAAAGAGATAAACATTTCTTAAAGCATTCGAGAGAGAATGCAGTCACTTAATTTTTGGTCAGTGCAGACAGGTAAAAATCGTGGGACTATTTCATAACTAAGCCTAGCCTACGCTAGGATACGTCCTAGGTCTAGCACTAGTAGGTGGAGGCTTCGGCGGCCTCCGGTCTGGCCGTAGGCCTACATCTAATCTCCTTCCTTTAAAATTCCTTTAGAGTCTTTAAATAAGTAGAATATTCCAATTAATTTTTCATACTTAATATTAAATTTTAAAAACTAAACTTCTTCGGGTTCTAATTAACCTTGTTTTACAAAAGTAGTTTTTAATTACAATTCAATTTTCATCGCGGGGTGCGATATCTTCGCGGTGACGGAAAATTTTGTGTTTTTTTTAACACCAATCTAAAAAGCCAAGCCAAGCGTCCACTATTGGACAAATTATTGGACTGTGGGTGATAGGCAAATAACATTGGGAGTTGCATTGATGACGTCACGATTGAAGTTTTATATTCTTTAACGAGCACATGGGCCATATTCCACACGGGGCCAACGGCTTAAGCCGGACACTCACTTCGTCGTTCGTACAGCCGTCGTACGACGAATTCAACTTCGCTCACTAAAAGCCCTAGACGACGTGACACCGTCTGCTGATTGTCGGTGGCAGTCCGAACAGATTATAATTTAATAACAAAAGATCCTTAGCGCGTGTCATGGACGACCGTCGGGCAAGGGGGCTTGACCTGTCCGGTGGGGGGCTTAAGCCCCCCTGCCACCCCGCTGGTGCCGCCACTTCCCGGCTTTAAACATCTCATCCGCAAATGGTGAAAAGTTGCAACTTGTTTTCAGCCCTGACAAATTTTGCATTCAAATAGGATGTTGAAAATTATCATACATTAGGCCTACTCTAACTGTTTTGCATAATTTTTTAAAATTTTGTATAATATAAAAGAAAGGTTTTAAATGTAAAGTAGAAAAAAAATCTGACTGAGTGTGGGTATTAACGAATAAAAAAAATTTACTCATGTATATTTAACATAATGTAATATGATGATATGATTGTGATGAATAAATGTGGTGATTCCGCCATAAAATGGAGAAAGGGAGAAAAAATTCAATCACCAAATTATTTTCAACAAATTTGGTGCGGCTTAAGGTATAATATTAGTAATTTTGATAATCTAAAAGAAAATATATATTGTACATGACGGAAGCATAGAATGAACTATGATAACGAATATGTATATAATATAAGTAATTTATTGCAAATATTCAGGATACAGTAAAAACGCCAAAGGTCTTTAAAAAGTATACTGAGCGGGGTGGTGGTGGGGGGGGGGCAACTGGAGGGATGATCTATAGGGGAAACAACCCCCACCCCTTAGGTACGCCACTGCATAGCACTAACCTGACCTCCACAACCAGACTTCTCTTTCCATTTGCAACTTAGAATCGTTTCGTTATTGAGCTGAAATCCAGTTCTGTTGGTAAATTCAGACGTGCTAAAGTTTTCATTGGTAAAAACATCATCAAACTGAATACTCGAAATTCCATTTGAATACTCTTCAGAGAAGTAGTCGTAGTCTTCGGCGTCCCATAGATATTTTATAACAATCCTATCATTATCAGTGAGGTAGGAACTTCGATACCTAATTAAAGTAATTAATAAATACATACATCAATTTTTATCACTTGAATTAAAAATGTTTTCAAAATGTTTGTCTATGGCTAGGTTCAGACCTGAGAGATATTCCAGTCGTATCTAACGCCGGGCGTACTTTAATTCGTGGCGTAACTGGGCGAATAACAAATGTCAATCGTGACGTCATCACTGTAACTCACAATGTTATTTGCCTATTCCTCAGCGTCCATTAATTTTTCTATTAGTGGACGCTTGGCTTGATTTTTTTTTAGGTTCGTGTGCAAAAAAAATTGCTCATTTTTTTTCGTCACCGCGAATACATCGCGCACCGCGATAAAAATTGAATTGTAATTGAAAATTACTTTCGTAAAACAAGCTTAATTAGAACCCTAAGAATGTTACATCAAATTCAATATTAAGTATGAACAATTAAGGAATTCATTAAATCAATGGACCCTCATAAACACAACAAACTGAACGTTTAATAAGAATATTATGTACTGCTGATATGTAGTAAATTAAACGCGTACTGCAGGAGCGAAAATCAGCATACGCACAGCTAAATGTAAATACGCACACGTATACTGATCATATCACTATACCAACCGATGTTTTTGTTATAAAAAAAAAAAAATTAAATTAAAAGAATGCGATTGACGTATAAAGCAATTAGTAGAGCATGCATCGTACACTATATGGAAAATTATTATACTTAGGTTAGATTTAATGCATTCAAAAATTTGTTCAAGCATTAAATCTAACCTTCGTATAATAATTTTCCTATAGTGTGCTATGCGGAGCTCTACTAATTGCTTACTACCGTAAGTATTCGCGCGAAATATTCGTATTCTTAATTGCACGTTTTATTTTCTGTTTACATCTAGGCTTATTGTGGTTGGTCAAATCTTGACCGAGTTCAAAATCATTGATGCATGACTGTCGTAACTCAGTGACGTACTCTAATAATAATAATAATATAATAATAATAATAATAATAATAATAATAATAATAATAATAATAATAATAATAATAATAATATAATAATAATATAATAATAAATAATAATAAATAATAATAAATAATAATAAATAATAATAATTTGCAATTTGTATAGCGCCTCCCGTTGGACCAACCTCGAGGCGCTTGACAACAACGGAAGGAAACGGACAAGAGAATAAAAAAAAAATTTTTTTTAAATTTAAAAAATTGGGGTCTGTTGCTAGATTACATACGATAATACTGGCGTTCGCTATAATATTAACGTTACGCTAGCGTAAGTCGTTGTGTCTGAACATACTTTAAGCCAGGCACCCTCTGCGCACGACGTCCGATTCCATAAAGAACGCAACGCCACGACTCGTGCACAATAGATCCTTTTTATAATGACGAAAAATGACGATTCGTTCAGACTGTCATCGACAATCAGCTGATGGTGTTCGTAACGCTCACAGGGAACTGAGTTGGATTCATCAGCCGACAGTTGTACGACCATAGTACGACGCAGTGAGTGCCCAGCATTAACACGCTGATTTGATTTTCTTATCGGTTCGGTAGGCATTCCGATCCAAAAATTCGGATTCGGTGTAAACGTAGCTTTAGGCCTGTAATTTTTCGTAAACATTTCTAATGAATTTTCTCTTTCATCGTTTTTTTAATTATAATTTATATAATGTAAAACATATTTATATTGTCTTGCTTTTATATATTAATTTTATCTTGTTACTTATTAACCCATGTAGAAACATATGTATAGGTATATGGCAAATATGAGAAACCTGGATCTTTATCTGTAAAATAAAAGTAACAATATAAATATATATAATAGTATTATTTGAGCGCCAAAGACGGAAATCTCCGTCTTTGGTTACCCATCGCTTGAGCGCCAAAGACGGAAATTTCCGTCTTTTGGGTGTTTTTGTAAAATTAAATTGATGGACCTATTGC